CCTAATGTGTTTGGATGCATGTTAAACTGACAAGCCTACTGTGTTAAGATGCATGTTGGCTGGTAAGTAACTCATCAAAGCAAACTGCCGCCTGGAGCTTCTTACTATCATCACTCTCTTTAGAGAACATTCCAAGTCACCTGAGTTAGTGCCAATCTCTTCCTTAAAGATAGACTTTGCCTTCTTAGTATTTGCCTCTCAGCAGTGTTTTCTTTTTAACACTCCAAAGTCCTGCACAAAACCCTCAGGAGAACCTCTTTATCATTTGCTATCCAGATCATGAGGACATCCTTGTAAACGGAGGGCAGCCTTATCAGATCATGAACTAATAGTGCAATGGGGAGGGCACACTGACCACGTGACCTTACTCTAGAAACCAAACATTCCCATGGTGCTTCCCTCACCATCTCTTCTGCCAAGATCCACAGTTGTAGAGGTGGAACAGAAGTACCTGTTCAGGCTGGTTTGCATTCGAGAGCGGAATGACCATCCAAATGACATTGAGGTTAATGAGAGCAGCACTGGTAGAGAAGGCGCACGGCAGGACGGCTGTCTGGCCCCGGGCCACCTGGACACTGCCGGGGCTCTCAGACACTTCCAGGGACACCGCAACACCTGTAGAGGAAGGAACAGTTGGGTTCTGTGCGCGCCCTTTCCTAACAGCTCTGTGAGTATCACGGTATCACATGACATCTGACCTGGATCTGTGAACACACTGACAGAATGGTCCAACCAGAGAACGACTCATCACTCACAGAGCCAAAATAAGAAAGTGGCTCACCCCTTTACATCTCAGAAAGTAATTTTGAAATGTTAGGGGCCATCTATTCTCTCTCTCTCTCTCTCTCTCTCTCTCTCTCTCTCTCTCTCTCTCTCTCTTTGGTTTTTTGAGACAGTTTCTCTGTGTAGTTTTGCTGCCTATCCTGGATCTCACTCTGTAGACCAGGCTGGCCTCGAACTCACGGAGATCCACCTGGCTCTGCCTCCCGACAGCTGGGATTAAAGGTGTGTGCCACCACTGCCCTCTATTCTCTCTTATAAGGCAGTAACCCATTATTTGGAGAGATTCAGATATACCATAGCAAAGTCCACGCAAAAGTTGATAAATCCTGACAAAAGACATGAACTGAATTTTCTAAGTATCGTTACAGTAGCACATCACAAAATTTAGTGCTCATCTGTAAATCTAACAAAACATGTGAATGTCTTTATGCATATAAAGCATCAATGAAAAAGGTAATAAGTAAAAGAAATTGGAAGATGTACAGTGTTCATGAGATGGGAGATCCAATATTAATAAGAGGTCAATTAATCTCCCCAAATTGATAAAATTCGGAGCAAATTCAATTAAAACTCCACTAGGCTTTTTAAGTACATGGCAATGAATTAATTTTCGCACACATGAAAAGGGAAGAATCACAAAGAGTCAAAAGAAGTAAAAGAACATAATAAAGAATGATGGTCAAGGGCTCAAGTGATGGCTCAGCAGTTAAGAACACTGGCTGCTCTTGCACAGGACCCAGCTTCAATTCCCAGCACCCACGTGTCACTTACACCCTCTGTTAACTCCAGTTCCAAGGGGTCTAACACCCTCTTCTGGTCTCCACAGACACTGAACATACATACTGCCTATAGCTTAGGCTTGTTCCTAACTAGTTCTTATGACTTAAATTAACCCATTTCCATTAATCAACATGTACCACCCATCCTGCTTCTTTTGTGTCTTCTGGCATCTCTTCTGTGCCTAGATTTATCTTCTACTTCCTCTCTCTCTGCCTGGAAGTCCCACCTATGCCTCCTGCCTAGCTATTGGCCATTCAGCTTTTTATTACACCAATCACAGTAATATATATTCACACAGTGTACAAATATCCCAACAGTAGTATACACCTATACAGGCAGGAGGAGCTCAAGTCTGTGGCCAGCTTGAACTGCAGTGATACCCCTCCTGGAAAGAAAGGAAGTGAGAGGGGAAGGGAAGGGCAGCAAGAGGAAGAGCTGAGCATTATGGCAAAGGCCTCCTGAGTGGGGAGATGAAAACACGAGGACTGTGAAATCAGGATAGCCTAGGCAAGGGTGGGCCTGGGCTACACAGCAAGACCATACTTCACAAAACAGCAACAAAAAAAAAATGAGCCACAGAGAGCCCACCATTACATTCTTCAGATTGCTCCAATACAGGAGAGAAAGCACTTTCCCCTATTAACCTATGCAAGGCGATGTTTATCATCCATCCTCAAATATACTGAAATACTCAAATTTCATGCTGAACTCACATAATTTACACACACACACACACACACACACACACACACACACACACAAACGCACACACTAAAACAAACTGAAAACAACAGCTAGAAGGAATTGCCCAAACAGGGAATGCAGAGGGCTGGGATGGGGCAGGGATGGGGCAGAGATGGACAGGAATGGGACAGAGATGGACAGGGATGGGCAGGGATGGGCAGGGATGGGGCTAGGATGGGCAGGGATGAGGCTGGGATGGGCAGATATGGGGCTGGGATGGACAGGAATGGGCAGGGATGGACAGGGATGGGCAGGGATGGACAGGGATAGGCAGGGGTGGACAGGGATGGGCAGGGGTGGGCAGGGTTGGAGCTGGGATGGGCAGGGTTGGAGCTGGGATGGGGCAGGGATGGGGCAGGGAAGAGGAGCCTGTTAGCAAGAGAAAGCCTCTGCCGCACTCACTTTTTATTTTTACATTCTCACATCATCTGATTCTTGAATCCCACACTTTGGCACCGCAGCAAAAGAAACATTCTAGAGAGCTTCCAGAGCTTGCAAATGGGCAGGTGAAGCTGGATGGGTCTGACTGGCAATCTGGCTCTTGCTTCTAATCTGTTACGGAACAGCAAGCAAGTCACTTAATCTCTGAAACTTGGTGCTTCATCTACACAAAGGGCTTGTGCTCCCACCCACTTGCCACAGAAGGAGTGTCAGAGATGGTGGCTCCCGCCATGACTATCCTTGCTGGGGAGGCAAAGGAGCGCGCTGATCATCCAAGCCTACAGCCAATACAATACAGAAAGACTCATTTAATTCCAAAAAGAATCAAGAAGGAACTCCCACCTCTGGGGCCCTTCTGATCCCCTTGTTGGGAGTTGTTCTAATAAAATTTGTCCCCTCAAAAACGGAAAATAGAGGCCCAGAGAAAAACTAAAAGCCAGTTCGAAGACACATAACCACAAGGTTAGTAAATGTACGCTCTGGCCGGGCAGTGGTGGTGCACGCCTTTAATCCCAGCACTTGGAAGGCAGAGCCAGACGGATCTCTGTGAGTTCGAGGCCAGTCTGGTCTACAGAGTGAGTTCCAGGAAAAGGCGCAAAGCTACACAGAGAAACCCTGTCTTGAAAAAAACCAAAAAAAAAAAAATGTACACTCTGGACTCAAACCATGCAGTTTATCTAAAGAAAACATACACTAAAATATCTCATAAATGTTTATTATCACTGCATTAAGCAATCACAACATTTAAAACTATAACAGACTTTTACACAAAACCCTTAGATGAAAATCTCCTCAATTTCCTGACTGTAAACCTACAAATCAGCTCCATCTGCCTCAATGCCCTCTCTACTGTTAAGAGTTTATTTAGAGCCGCGCCCACCTTCCACTAGGAGAGCTTTGAATCCTCTCCCTTTGGTCCCTTAGTAACCTTGCCACAGACTGCAGGATCTCAAGCCTTCTCTCTGCACAGGAATTCCCTGGCAGCATTTAAACATTCTCCAGTTGCTCAATTTCAAAGCAATCCCTCCCTCGCCCAAGGGCAGTAGTGTCCTGTTCTCCCTACTCCCCCCACCAGGATCTGCTGCCTCAGAGTCTTCCTGTGACTCTTTCTGAAGACCTGTCTACACTGGCTGTCTCTACTGACCATTCTCTCCCCAGTCTTTGATCCAATGCGGTTCCAGCACTTCTAAAAGCTCCTCCCCAGGCATCCCAGAGACCAGGTGGCTGCACAGCCTTTGTAATCTCTCTTGCACCCTCAAGGGCATCCCCCAGAGATGAGCAGGCTCGCTGTTGAAGCCCACTGCCCCTCAGCTTCAGGGAGACAGTCTGAACTCCACTCCCCTTCCCTGAGTGTTTCTTGGTCTCTCTGCAGTTTCACTCCTTGCTGCATGGCTTCACGTGTTTGTAGTCCTCAAAGGACTTCCTGATCTCCATCCACACTTGCCCTGCAGAAGCACATCTGCAGTCTTGAACTGGATCCTCATTTGCAATGGTTTCCAAAAGTCTTTCTCAAACGTACATCATCACCTCCCAGACACATCTACTTGGTATCTCCAAGGCATCTCAAGTCAGTGTCCACGACCAAAGGCATCCCTTCCATGCCAGGCTCCTTTCTTCTTAAAACGTCTTTATTCGTTTTTAGGTTGGTATACAAAACAACATGTTTTATTTTGCATTTCCGTACATGTATCATTAGACTTTGTTCTCATCCATGACCCTCCCTGACTTCCCTCCCCCGTGTGGTGGTTTGAAAGAAAGTGGCTCCGAAAGGGAGTGGCGCTGTTAGGAGGCGTGGCCCCATTAGGAGGCGTGGCCCCGTTGGAGGAGGTGTGTCACTGTGGGGCGGGCTTAAGCTCCTTTGCTCAAGCTACACTCGGGGTAATAAACAGTTCACTTCCTGTTGCCTACAGATCAAGATGTAGGGTTTTCAGCTCCTTCTCCAGCACCATGTCCGGTAGCATGCCGCCATGCCCCACCATGAGGATAAAGAACTAAATGTCTGAAACTGTAAGCCGGCCCCAGTTAAATGTTTTCCTTTATAGGAGTTGCCACGGTCATGGCGTCTCTTTATAGCAATCGAAACCCTAACTGAGACACCCCACTCTGGTGGGGGTTTTCTGCCTTTCCCCATAGACTCCTTTCTCTCTGCTCCATGCTTTCATGACGTGTATATTCCATTACCCTCTTCTTCCTCTCCTATAATCTCCTTTGTAGTTTCAGGAATCGCATGCTGTATACACACACACATACACACACACACATACCAACGGATACATCCAAAAATTTTCATTTTAAATTTAAGTTTAAATATGAGATAATATGCAGTATTTGAGTCTATCTTATTTCATTTAAACATAATGGTTTCTAATTGAATCCATTTTCCTGTCAATGTCAAGATGTCATTTTTTCTTTGTGAATAAAGTTCCAACATATACATGTATCACATTTGTTCCTCCATTTATCTATTAATAGACATCTAGGCCGCTTGCATTTCCTAGCTATTATGAAAAGTGCAGCTCCAGACATGGGTGTGCAAGCAAATCTCTGAGGTATGCTGACTTAAAAATTAGTTGAGTACATACCCAAGAGTGGTACTGCTGGGATATATGGTAGTTCTATTTCTGGCTTTGGGGGAAACCCCCATGCTGATTTCAACAGTGGCTTTACATGTTTACACTGTCAGTTGCAGTATACCAGGGCTCTTCTTTCCCCATGTCCTTACCAACATTTGTTGTTTGTTTTTCAAAGCAATTTTAATTTGCCTTTCCCTGATGGCCAAGGAACACTTTTTCAAACATTTATCAAACATTACTCATTTTGGAACTGTTAATTCAGTTCCTAGCTCATTGATAAACTAATTAATTAGC